GTAGATGGGGCAGTGACCACGGCAATTTTCTAAAACAATGCATGGTATTTCAAGCTTATTTTCAAACAATTGTAACTAAACCATAGTAAGCCTACATCATTATTTGTGTCAAAGCCTAAGATGATGTAGAGCTAGTCATTTTTTTCCAGTAAAAAAAAAACTCAAAACAACCACGTTACAATTTGAAATTTAAATATCTTCTTGTGTATGATGTGCTTGCTTGGTCAAGTGTGTAGGGCTAATGGTCAGCGCGACCAGAAAAGTAGTCGATATGGTTGTAGTGTTTCCCGACTAGGCTATATCATGTATTGATTATGGACGTTTTGTGTGTGCCTATAGTGTTAGCCACTTTTAAGTTGTTTTATTAGGCAAACGCTAAAAGTTATAGGCCTTTCTCGTTCGACTTAGTGTTACAATATTTGCCTCGCGTGCCTTTACAATTGTTATACGTATCCACGCCTATCCATTCCCTTTGTACCACAAGGATGTAACATGTAGGGATTCCGTCAATTACCGCTTGAAGTTGTACGTAGGATTCTTCTATTCCGGCATTATCGTAGTCTTATATTGGGGCATATGCCTATAGGATAGTTATGTTAAAATGCAAACATCTTAAGTGACCTTCCGCCCCTGTGTGCTTCCATCGCAGGGGCGTAGCGAGGGGGGGGGGGGGCGGGGGTGCGGACCGCACCGGGTGACACCATTTAGGGGGGTGACACCAAGGCAAAAAATAGAAAAATATATAGAGAATAACTTGAGGGGGGTTGCAAATCGAAAGTTTGAGGGGGAGGGGTGTAAATCGAAAACTTGAGGGGGGTGCAAATCGAAAGTTTGAGGGGGGGGGTGCAAATCGAAAATTTGAAAGTTTGTCCCCAAGAAGGGTCGCTACGCCTCTGGGAGGGTGACACCATTAAGTGCCGCACCGGGTGACACCCGACCTCGCTACGCCACTGTTCCATCGCACGACACAGAATACTAGAACATTCTATCGTACTCTATTAATCTCGCATACAAGTTCCTCAAGGTTAACTGTTACCAGTAGTGTAATAACTTATTATATATATATATATATATATATATATATATATATATATATATATATATATATATATATATATATATATATATATATATATATATATATATATATATATATGGGGGGTTGTGACCTCCCCTAACCCCCCCCCTGCCTACGCCACTGTCTGTGACATATTTTCTATCAGGTTTTTATTTTAATGTTTGTAGTCTGTAATCTAAAGTAGAGATTTAGCCTCTGCTAAACTTCACCTACAACAAATCCAAAGCCTCTCTTTTACTTAGTTTTCTAGAGTATTTGTGTCATGTAAATATCCAATGTTTATATTTTGTTAAACGAGTATTTACAGATAATTGCCATTTTATAATAGGCTTATTTCATTTTAAAGGTATTACGGAGATACTCTCTCAACTCTACATTTTGCACAGAGTGCAAAGAAAATAAAAAACAAGGCGAGGTTTTATTTATTTATTTGATTTTTTTAAATTGTCTACTGTTCACTATAAAAATGAAAAACCTCCAACATGCTACTCTCTTAACAATGCTCAACCCCTTACAACATTTTTTTCCAATCTACCAACCAAATTCTAAATAAAAAATTACATTTTTAGATTATTCTTAAATTCTTGTTGTGTTTAGCTGGTCTTAGCCCACTACGTTATCACATTTTTTACTAATCGTGTTTAGGTAATAAATAATCTACCAGTATCTGCAAGCCAATTAAAGCTTATGAAAGAAATTCAGAGACTTAAGAAAAAACTGCTCTCCTCACGGAAATCACATAAAGGTACCAACCTCATTTTTTTTTATCCAGTCCTCTTTGGTATTTTGAATGAAGACGCACTCAAATCTCGATATATGTCTTTAGCAGTAATGTGATATATTTAATATTTTTTTAGACGCATCAGCTTCGACGTCTGCTAAATTACCTTGGACATTTTATTTTAAGGAGGCTGATATTGAGACAAAGGTATGTACATTTACTAGATGTATAGCTATTACCTTGTTCATTTTCTGCACTTTAACTACTATGTTTCAGTTAGTTTCAGTTAGTTAGACTAAATTTATATTAGAAGTATGAGATCTTGCACTTGAATTTAATCACCTCTAATATTTTACTGGTACTTTACTATATCTCAGGTTTTTAAAATACAGATAACATAAGTAACGTTTCAGTTTAATGAAAGTTTTTTGAAAAATTGCAAGCTGAATAGAATAAGTTCTACTTCCGGTTATAAGAAAGTTGAAACAGAACTACAAATTTAGCATAATACTTAAATATGAAATTTCATCAACCTAGCTATAACGGTACTAAAATTATCGTGTTCAAATACAAACACACACACACACACACACACACACACACACACACACACAAATACACACAGATATACAAAATTGCAAAAATAAGTTTTTCCGACTTAGTGAGGTATAAAACGTAGAGATTTGTGGAAATCTAGAATGTGAGGGTTGTTTTGCATTCTAACAATACTTCCTCTACGAGAAAGCAAAAATGCATAAAAAAGTTTTAATAACAAGCTTTTATGTAATGACTTGCCTTGGGTATTATTTTCATGTGATTAAAGGTCTATAACTACATATTTTTACTGTTAGACTTATTTGTAAATAATAATTTAAAAATTATTTTTCAGTCATAACGTTATATGTTTTACGACACGTTGAACGATATTAGCGACAAAGCAAAGAAATAACTAAATAGCTAAACATCCGACACATTTAACATAGGCTACCAATACCCATTTGAAAAATTAAAACCAAATTATATACTTTATTAGTCAACCCAACACCATATGAAATGCAACACACTGATGAAGAGACTTAAATGATTCTGTAAAAAAAAACATGCTGCTCAATGGTCATTATGTTATTTTTTTAAAGTAATTTGTATTAGTTTGACCGAGAAAATTGTATACATTTCATAGCGGACGTCTTGATAAGCAGATTTATAGAATCTAAATCAAATCTAAATAAAATTGTTCGTTGTTCATATTATTCTAAAATACCCACCATATTATTTTTAACAAAAGGTCATTATCATTAATTTCTCCATAAATCGCTAAACATACTGATCTCTTAGGCTCGGGATATATGGACCGAGAGATTAAGGGAGAGAATGGAGAAGTGCTCATATGGGCGTTTATATATTAGGATGCACTAAAAAGGAGTGAAAAAAAATTAAAATATCTATAAATATAATTCTCTTCTGGGAGCCGTTAGAAAACAAGCTGCTAGCGCCTCCTTGCAGTCCCCTCTCTTTCTCTTTATCACTATCACTACCACCCCCACCCCACCCCCACATTGTCTGGTGAGATGTGGTCACGCTGTTTACATTTTACAATCATAGAGACGGGTTTGGTGACGGCTATTAGGGGCAGATAATTTAGTTTGAAACGATTTTAAACTTAGAGGAGGCTGCTTTCACGTGGGGGGGGGGGGGGAGGGGGAAATGGGGGTTTAGTGTTTTTAAGCAAATATTTTCAGTGGCAGCATTGGTACTGTCGAATTCACAAATTATAAATTACTGAAAAGTAGAAAATAAAACAACTAAATAGCGGCGTATGATACGCCGCGGGTCGGCTCGTATTACAATACACTACCAGGATCGGTTTTGTCGAGCCGGTAACCTCATGGTTTCTAAACCAAAAAGTTTCGAGTTTGACCCGCGGGTAGGCGGGGACAGCTGGGAATCTAGGAGAGACAACTCCAAAATCAAACAACTCCTGCCTTGAAGATTGTTCTTGGTTGGACAAAGTCTATGGAATCAAATGTAAACAGAAAAAGAAAGAGAAATCGGAGTCAACGGCTTATACGGCGCATTAAAATCTGACTCGTAAAATTTAATTCTGTTGTAGTGAATCTCTTCGAACACTAAAGAACGCGGAAACAGAATAAAAATATACACCACTTTTTCAATAATTTTCCTTTGTAGTTATTTAAATAGTGGTGCATTACAATATATATTTATAATTGTGATGGGAGCATGGTCGAGTCGGCAAAGCTCATGGTTGATAAAATTTTTAAAAAAGTTTCGAGTTCAAACCCTCTGGAAGATAAGGCCCTTCCAACACTAAAAATTAAGAACGAAGAAGAAAAAAGAAGTAGAGAAAAATAGTTTTAAACTGCTTTTAAGTTTGCATACAATTGAATTGACTTTCTAGATACGATATGCAATTGTGCAGTAATAGTGTAATGCTTTTTGTAATCAGCAGTCGACATCAACTGACAGAGAGACACCTGAAGAGGATACACTAAGAGCAGAAAATGAAGCTTTAAAATTGGAAAATCTTGAGTTGAAGGTGTGTTTTACAGTAATTTACGATGCACATTCTGACCTTATTCTGACATTCTGTGTTTCAACTGTTGCTATTATATTACCATTCCTTGTTCACTAGTCAACCAATAGTTCAAATATAATATCAAATTTTATAATTTCAGAACTGCATTAAAGAATTGAAAACAGAAAAGCTTCAACGACAGCAAACTTCCATCAACAATCAAAATCCTGCGGTTTGTTGTTCTTTTTTCATTTGCTCATATGCTAATATTAATATGCTAGGTTTTAACTTTCTCGTATATACGAAGTATAGAGAAAGTCTTGTAATCGTGCAAAAAAAAACCAGATTTTTACAAATCTCGACGTTTTACACCTCACTGATACGGAAAAACATAATTTTGCAATCTTGTCCGTATGTCTGTGTGTCTCTGTGTGTGTGTGTGTCTGTGTGTGTGTGAGTAAACACGATAACCTGAGTACCGTTACAGCTAGGTTGATGAAATTTCATATATAAGTATTATATCAAAATCGTAGATCCTGATCAACTTTTGAGCGATTCCCGATAACCGGAAGTGGTACTTTTTCTACTTTGAATTGTTCAAAAGCCTATAACTTGAGTATTATTTCCGAAAGATAAATAAAATTTCACATGTAAGTAAAAGATCTCATTCTCACCTTCTGTCAAATTTTGAGTAATTTCCGTTGATTGAAAGTACTAATTTACGCTATTTCCGATTTCTCAAAAAACGAATGTATATTTATAAAGTACTAATAATATTCCGCACTATTATGCACATTTTGTTTTGGCGTGACACTAAGTATCCACAGCAGCTGTATTGAGCATAAACGAATATACAATGGCTGAACACTGTCATTTAGGACAGTATTTGTTCACGTGCTTTATGTGTATAGCAAATATAGGTTAAATGAGAAATTTGCGTCTTCGTTAGTTGACCTTGAATAAGAGTTTACGAAAATGACGTAACCGGGGACAACTAAGGCTCTACACATTGAAGGAAGTCATTTTATTTGTAGTGTGTTACTGTAGTGTAGTAGAACCACGACAGCAAGGCTTCAAAATACCCATTCATAAGAGTTTATCAGTGAGCAGGTGCAACAGAGTTATGTAACTCTATGCCTGAGCTAATAAAGTATAGTTTTCATGAATTTTGCAAGTGATTCTACATCTCCTTGCATGTCCGTATGTTTAGTTTGTGAAATTCTATTGTTTGTGCGTGGATATTTAGAGAAACACGCGACAATAAAAATAGTAAAATGACCCGGACTACTGTTTGGTTTATAAGTGCCTGATGTCGCGTTTTCGCGACATGCCGTAATTAGCATAAAAAATAAGTCCAAATTTAAAATCAACTATATACCTCAAATTCAGTGTCAGTATGATGAGAAAGAATCAGCACAAACAATTCTTTACACGCTTGGAACATAATTCAGATATTAAGGGGATATAACGTCGAGATAGATTTAGGTTGTTTGTTTTTTTTTGCACGATTACAATACTCCCCCTATACTCCGTATACGAGAAAGTGAAAAGTAAAGTTCGCTTTTTTTTACTTTGCTATCCATGGGGAAAGTGAAGTTGAGTTTACCGGTTTCTGTGACCTCGGCATATGAAGGGTTGGCATGGTAAGGCGTATGCTCAGCTGTCTTTACCTTCCTTAAAGTGAGTTGGGTACCCATCAGAGCAAAAAAATTGGCTGGAGAAATCGTACATTATGGGTTAATACAACAGGCCACCAGTCCGTTGCAAATCCTTCCGGTTTACGTTCCATAAAAGTACCACCCTCCCTAGCATCTTGGGAAATAAATGTTGGTGAACGGTCATTGACTCTTGAGTCTATTTATTATTCTAATACACAATCATTATAGAAAGAGTTAAATCACTTGTAGCCATTTATTTTCTTAACTTTGACTGTCCCCTTTGAATGTAATACTATTTAAAAGTTTTTTAAAGTTTGTAACTCAATTGTTCCTGGGTTTTAGGAAGATCAGGACTACCCTACGGCATTTGAAAACTGGTTAATTTTTTTCATGCTTTGTGAGTACAAACCTTATATTTTCTCATCTAAGATCAATAAGATCATGCCATATGATTATAGATATAAGGGCACAGGTTCCAAAGCTATGGTTCGTTAATTATTTTCTGTGGAAGAAGGGGGGGGGTCACCAACATGTAGACCAAAACAAAACATACACTATAATGCAATTTTAACCAATCGAGCTATATTTAGATCTAGAATAAAGGGCTGGCATAAGTCTAGTTTTTTTCCGTAGCTCTATTCTATATCTAGAATCTAGATCTAGGTCTAAATACATTAATTGCATTCTCGAACTATAAAGTAAAGTTTCCCTTACAAACCTGACGGTCTATGGGGCAAGTGAAGTAGAGTTCACTTGTTTCTGTGACCTCGGCATATGAAGAGATAGTGTGGTCAACACTATGCCCAGCCGCCTTTACTCTCCCTAACGTTAGTTAGGTACCCATCAGAGTTGGGTGGACTCAGGGAACGGTCTACTGCCTTGAACCCGGATTCGAACTCGAGACTAATGGGTTAGCAGTCCAGCTCTCTACCACTAGACCACTCCGTCCCATTCTCGTGTGTGATATTTACGGACTAAAATATTTTAATAACGAGTTTCAATCATTTAAAGTGTTTTTACTGTGTATTACTTATTGTAGCATGTTTTTCTTTTAACTAATTATTTTTTGTTTGGTCTTAAATTTTGTCTTTTGGTATAAGGACATTATTCCTATACGTTTCTAAGGAAGTTTATAAGTCCCTGTATTTTTCTGTAAATCTTTTTTTTTGTTTGGCCTTAGCATCAAGGGACGTCACTAAGCTGGTGAAAATTTTTAAGGTTTTGAGAAAAACATTGTGTTTGTTCTGAACTTTTATAATTAAAGTGGTAGGCCTATTTCTATCAATGAATATATCAATATATTTATTAACATCTTTAAATGAATGTGTGATTAACAGTTTGGTAAAAAGAACATTATTCTCTACCTAAATACGTATTTTACAGCTCTACACATACTGCAGATTCTCTCATGTAACCAAACAAACAAAAACAACACAAAAAAATATAAACTTGTAAAAAAACTTGAGATTTAATAGTATATAGAAGATTACATAAAAGCTTCTTATTAAAACGTTTTTTTTATGAGTTTTGTTTTATTCGCTTAATAGGGTTTGTTATTTAAACATGTAATTTTATAAGCTCTATAAAAGCTTACTCTACTTGTTATTTATGTTTTAATTATAAAAATATTCATATTCTTCATATATCTTCTTTCTTCGTTAAGCCGATGAATTAAAAAATTTGAATTAAACAAACAAGAAGCTGAACAGGTTCTTGTTCAGGTTTATATAGAGCCATCATTTTTTAGGCCCTAATGTATTAAAAAACGTAGTAGAAACAAATATAATAACTGATTATATCAAAGGTCTTTATTATTTTTTTAAATACCAGCTTAAAGGTTCCTGAGCATTTTTATCAATCGCGAAAAATTACGCTAGTTTGGTTTGTTAATTAAACTAATCGATTTTTTTCCGTTATGATACAGTCTTTTTTTTAGAACTAATAATCCCCTATCATTGAGTTTTTAATGGCGTCATTTTCCAATTTTAGTATGTGATGAAATGAATAATTTCATTCAAAGCTGAATTAGGTCTATAGATCTACTTATTAAGACGTACGCTAAGAATTGTATACAATTTTTAATAATTACTTTAAAAACAACATAAATACCATTAAACAGCCGGGTTTTTAACGGAATCATTTAAGCTTCTTGATCAGTGCGTGCATTTCATATGGCATTGTGTAGACTAATAATGCAAATAATTTGCTTTTTATTTTTATAATAGGTATTGGTAGCCTATGTTAATTTAAATGTGTCGTATTTTAGCTATTTTGTTATTTCTTTGCTTTGTCACTATTATCGCTCAAAGTGCTTTAATGCCCATGCCGTTTTGATCAATAGCTATTTTTATAAATAGCTTTTTTCCAAACAAGTATAACATTAAAATTATATAGGCATATAATTCGCTTGAAATAGGTAGGCCTACTCATGGCTAGTTAAAAAAAACCAGCTCTCTGTGCAACTCATCTCCATTAAAAACTAACTCCAGCTTTACTTCCATGTGCAGAAAAAAAAATTACCCCATTTTTAGCTTCCTTAAATGATACCATTTTCTAGGTCAATTTTAAATCAATGTGTGTATTTGCGGAATATTTACACGTGTCTTATATAATGAAAGTCTGCTTACTTAATTTTGGTGTGGTTTAAAAACAAAATAACGACACAATATTGGCGTTAACAAAATCTCAGCGGCGAATTTTTGACTAGTTAATTGCATACTGCTTCAACAATTTCGTTAAATCAATTATCGAACATAATTGTAAAATTAATTTATATTAAAAAATCAATTCTGATTTCGGAGTTTTCTAATTACCTTATTAAAATTGCTTTTTTTTATTATATGGAGATCGCGGGAAAAAGTTTGAGAACCTGTGCCTAAGAGTATCTATGAAATTTTAAAATGTTAATTATAATTACTATTACTTCGTATTTAGAACGTGTTAATTTATTCAAAAAATCAAGTTAACAAACCAACAACTATTTTTTTATCCCCAGTGTTTTCTGTTGGTGGAAGGCCTATGATACTTTGGGTGCTTGATGTTGTTATTGTGGTGGCAAGCCTTATAACATTATATATAAAATAAGTCCAGGTTAGGGTTAGGGCTAGGTTTAGGGTTAGGGTTAGAGCTAGGTTTAGGGCTAGGGTCGGGGTTAGGGCTAGGGTTAGGGTTAGGGCTAGGGTTAGGGTTAGGGTTAGAGCTAGGTTTAGGGCTAGGGTCGGGGTTAGGGCTAGGGTTAGGGTTAGGGCTAGGGTTAGGGTTAGGGTTAGGGTTAGAGTTAGGGCTAGGGCTAGGGCTAGGGTTAGGGTTAGGGTTAGGGCTAGGGTTAGGGTTAGGGTTAGGGTTAGGGTTAGGGTTAGGGTTAGGGTTAGGGTTAGGGTTAGGGCTAGGGTTAGGGTTAGGGCTAGGGTTAGGGTTAGGGTTAGAGCTAGGTTTAGGGCTAGGGTCGGGGTTAGGGCTAGGGTTAGGGTTAGTGTTAGAGTTAGGGCTAGGGTTCATCAGCATCAGCTCCATGACTGTCCTGTAGTTCTAGATGGGAACAACATCTACCATTACCTCTACCTTGCCTGTCACGTGCAGTCCTACGTTGGTGGGGATTACGATATCTACAGGAAGAAGGTCGTTGAAACTTTTCAGTCCTTTCTCTTGTGTGGTACAACACCTTATGTTATCATGGATGGCGCGTACACCAGGGACAACAGGAAGTTAAAAACGTGCTTGACCCGAGCCACTTGTCGGATTAAACAGGTAAATGCTATGGCCTACAACCAGAAAGGACAGATTCTACCCGTGTTGTCTTATGAAGCTTTCATACAAGTTCTAGAGGAATGGGGGATACTCCATGCTACTTGTCAGTTTGAGGCTGACCTTGAAATAGCTGTACTGGCCAACAAGCTCTGCTGCCCTGTAATAAGTAACGACAGTGATTTTTATATCTTTGATCTCAATGGGGGTTTTCTCCCTTTAGATTATATTGATTTCAGAGCGTTACACAAAACAGCTTGGTGATTCTTCAGATTACAGATTCCTACATTGTTATAAATATAACGTCGATGACTTTATTAATTCATTTGATGGGCTCAGTCGTTCATTATTGCCTGTGTTTGCAAGTATGCTTGGGAATGATTTTATAAGTTCAAAGGCTTTTTGTCAGTTTTATCCACGCGTCAAAGTTCCAAAATTGGTGTCAAAAAAATTTGCAATGCCCCAGAGGCTGACCAGAGTCATCGGTGTTCTTCATTGGCTACACACCCACGAGGATGATACTGACGTCTCAGTCATTAAAAAAAAAAGCTTTTGGACTTCATCAAACCCAGGCAGAAGGACAGAATTGAACAGAAACTTACGCTGTCTGTTAGCGGATACGAGGACATAAGCAAATTTAGTGGCTTTGGTCTCTACCAGTTTTTCACAACTGGTGTGAAAGACTGGTGCTCGACTAGTAATGAAGATTTTCGTCGGTATAATGGGGCAGCATTTCCTGATTGGTTTCTGGAGTCGACGTGTCGTGGGGACATCACTCCATTTCTTCTTAACTCTGCCATACTCCACAGAATTATTATCCTTACACAAGTAGAAAACTTGAGTTCCCCCCCCCCCCTTCTTTCATATGCTCAGCAGATATTAGACAAATTATCAATGGAATTTTGTTCAAAGATGACCCACCTGGTGGTACGGAAAATAAAATATCCGCCAAAAGTTTAGAAAATGCAAACTGGATTTGACATAGCTAACAAATTTAGCTTGCTTTGTGTCGATTAGGAAAACAACCTGCTGTTTTGTTTTTTAAATGCTTGTACAGACATTTTTAGTAGAAGTTTAATTTTGCCTGGTGATATTTTTTTCTTTTTGGAGTGGGCTTTAAGAAAGTTTTTTTTTTTCAGTTAATTTAGGCCTATGGGACAGCCTGACATAGCGGCAGAGCACTAGACTGCTAACCTTGTGTTTGAATCTGAGTTCAAGTCATTAGAACATCCCTGAGTCCACCCAGCTGTGATGGGTACCTAACTCACATTAAGGAAAGTAACGGTCACAGAAAGTGGTGAACTCTCTTTCGCTTGCTCCATGGATTGGCATGTTTGAAAAGGGACTTAACTTACTACTTCTTTGGAGGAATGTTGTTGCTTCCCTTAGATTTGATTTCTTAATGTTTGAAAGGTTGGGAATATATTTTGTAAACATAACTCAGTATACAGTGTGGATAATTTTCAGTCATTGTTTTTTTTTTTTACATTTGATAAACAAAACTGTTTTGTTTTATAATTGTTGTATTAAGAAAGTATGAGCACATTTTAACTTATTTTAAGGTTAAAATTGTTAGTAATTGCCTCTTCAATGCTCTATTGTGGAAATGTGCAACTTTTTATTACTGTGATATGTGCAGTATACTAAATGTTGAGTAGTTTATACAACAATAAAAATAATACTGTCTAGTGAAAGGTTGCATTAAACATAAATCTGAAAATTCTATTTATCTATTACATTATTCACTACAGAGACCTTTCACTCTATCTAAATTAACAAGCGCAATAAAATGGCAACAAGCAACATGAAGCTGAAGTCAGTTGACTTCACACAGCTGTTGGTTGATTTAACTGAGAATGCAAAGAAAATGTCTATTATCAGAAAATTGTTAGACAATTGAATTGAATTTGCTGTTAAATTTTGTCTTCAATATAATTATTTTAAAAACTATGCAAGGAAAGGTGTAAGCAAGAAGACATAGCAGCTCTTCTACATACCTCCCCTAACCTAAAACAATCAGGAGCAACATGGTGACTGTTGTGTCCCTTACGTGTCCCCTGCTTGTGTGTGTGTGTGTTGTGTGTGCTTGAGCGACAGGTATCCCTCCCCTTTATTACGGTTGTAGCCCTTGGTTGAGTGTAGTTACATGGAGCGAGAGGTGTTCACGTCAGGTGGGTCAGTTGACGGGTGTCAGAGCGTGTGAGAGCGTGTGCCAGTGTGTGAGGCACTAGTAGTGTGAATGTGGACGTGGCTGTGACAGGACGTGGCTGTGACTGGGGTCGTGTTCGGTATTGTTAAAGCATATAGTATCTTTTATCGTGCGGCGTCAATTCGGCCAATGACGAAACGGCCCCGTCAAAACGACCCCGACAAAACGACCCCGTCAAAACTACCCCGTCAAATCGGCCCCGTCAAAAGGGCCAGCGACATATGGACCCCGTCATATAGGCTCCCGACAAATAGGCTCCCGTCATTTAGGCTACCGACAAATAGGCTCCCGTTATATAGGCTCCCGACAAAAGGGCTCCAGTCAATAAGGCTCCAGACAAATAGGCTCCCGTAATTTAGTTTTTTCCACAAAACGGCCCCCGTCATTACGACTCCCGACAAATAGGCTCCCGCCATTTAGTTTCTCCACAAAACGGCCCCCGTCATTACGACTCCCGCCAAATAGGCTAGCGTCATTTTGGCTCACGACAAAAAGGCTCCTATCGATTTGGCTCCAGACAAAAGGACCACTGACAATACCGTTTCTGTAGAGACTAAGTCGCCTGATATAGATATAGATATAGATATAGATATAGATATAGATATAGATATAGATATAGATATAGATATAGATATAGATATAGATATAGATATAGATATAGATATAGATATAGATATAGATATAGATATAGATATAGATATAGATATAGATATAGATATAGATATAGATATAGATATAGATATAGATATAGATATAGATATAGATATAGATATAGATATAGATATAGATATAGATATAGATATAGATATAGATATAGATATAGATATAGATATAGATATAGATATAGATATAGATATAGATATAGATATAGATATAGATATAGATATAGATATAGATATAGATATAGATATAGATATAGATATAGATATAGATATAGATATAGATATAGATATAGATATAGATATAGATATAGATATAGATATAGATATAGATATAGATATAGATATAGATATAGATATAGATATAGATATAGATATAGATATAGATATAGATATAGATATAGATATAGATATAGATATAGATATAGATATAGATATAGATATAGATATAGATATAGATATAGATATAGATATAGATATAGATATAGATATAGATATAGATATAGATATAGATATAGATATAGATATAGATATAGATATAGATATAGATATAGATATAGATATAGATATAGATATAGATATAGATATAGATATAGATATAGATATAGATATAGATATAGATATAGATATAGATATAGATATAGATATAGATATAGATATAGATATAGATATAGATATAGATATAGATATAGATATAGATATAGATATAGATATAGATATAGATATAGATATAGATATAGATATAGATATAGATATAGATATAGATATAGATATAGATATAGATATAGATATAGATATAGATATAGATATAGATATAGATATAGATATAGATATAGATATAGATATAGATATAGATATAGATATAGATATAGATATAGATATAGATATAGATATAGATATAGATATAGATATAGATATAGATATAGATATAGATATAGATATAGATATAGATATAGATATAGATATAGATATAGATATAGATATAGATATAGATATAGATATAGATATAGATATAGATATAGATATAGATATAGATATAGATATAGATATAGATATAGATATAGATATAGATATAGATATAGATATAGATATAGATATAGATATAGATATAGATATAGATATAGATATAGATATAGATATAGATATAGATATAGATATAGATATAGATATAGATATAGATATAGATATAGATATAGATATAGATATAGATATAGATATAGATATAGATATAGATATAGATATAGATATAGATATAGATATAGATATAGATATAGATATAGATATAGATATAGATATAGATATAGATATAGATATAGATATAGATATAGATATAGATATAGATATAGATATAGATATAGATATAGATATAGATATAGATATAGATATAGATATAGATATAGATATAGATATAGATATAGATATAGATATAGATATAGATATAGATATAGATATAGATATAGATATAGATATAGATATAGATATAGATATAGATATAGATATAGATATAGATATAGATATAGATATAGATATAGATATAGATATAGATATAGATATAGATATAGATATAGATATAGATATAGATATAGATATAGATATAGATATAGATATAGATATAGATATAGATATAGATATAGATATAGATATAGATATAGATATAGATATAGATATAGATATAGATATAGATATAGATATAGATATAGATATAGATATAGACATAGACATAGACATAGACATAGACATAGACATAGACATAGACATAGACATAGACATAGACATAGACATAGACATAGACATAGACATAGACATAGACATAGACATAGACATAGACATAGACATAGACATAGACATAGACATAGACATAGACATAGACATAGACATAGACATAGACATAGACATAGACATAGACATAGACATAGACATAGACATAGACATAGACATAGACATAGACATAGACATAGACATAGACATAGACATAGACATAGACATAGACATAGACATAGACATAGACATAGACATAGACATAGACATAGACATAGACATAGACATAGACATAGACATAGACATAGACATAGACATAGACATAGACATAGACATAGACATAGACATAGACATAGACATAGACATAGACATAGACATAGACATAGACATAGACATAGACATAGACATAGACATAGACATAGACATAGACATAGACATAGACATAGACATAGACATAGACATAGACATAGACATAGACATAGACATAGACATAGACATAGACATAGACATAGACATAGACATAGACATAGACATAGACATAGACATAGACATAGACATAGACATAGACATAGACATAGACATAGACATAGACATAGACATAGACATAGACATAGACATAGACATAGACATAGACATAGACATAGACATAGACATAGACATAGACATAGACATAGACATAGACATAGACATAGACATAGACATAGACATAGACATAGACATAGACATAGACATAGACATAGACATAGACATAGACATAGACATAGACATAGACATAGACATAGACATAGACATAGACATAGACATAGACATAGACATAGACATAGACATAGACATAGACATAGACATAGACATAGACATAGATATAGATATAGATATAGATATAGATATAGATATAGATATAGATATAGATATAGATATAGATATAGATATAGATATAGATATAGATATAGATATAGATATAGATATAGATATAGATATAGATATAGATATAGATATAGATATAGATATAGATATAGATATAGATATAGATATAGATATAGATATAGATATAGATATAGATATAGATATAGATATAGATATAGATATAGATATAGATATAGATATAGATATAGATATAGATATAGATATAGATATAGATATAGATATAGATATAGATATAGATATAGATATAGATATAGATATAGATATAGACATAGACATAGACATAGACATAGACATAGACATAGACATAGACATAGACATAGACATAGACATAGACATAGACATAGACATAGACATAGACATAGACATAGACATAGACATAGACATAGACATAGACATAGACATAGACATAG